CATATTTTGGAACAGTTTCAAATTGTAGCCAAAGAATGTCTCTGCTTAGGCTTAGAAAACATATTATTATTGTTATTATTAATTTTTTAGTCAGAGAAATTAATTCAAAGTCTTAATGCTTCACGCGCTTGCGTCCAAGGCTATCGGTTTTGAGATTTTAACCCGCGACCATTAAGCTGTTTATCGAAATTTTTATGAAACGTAGAAAATGAGTTATGTGCAGGTTGCAAGGATTAAATGCTCTTCATGTAAAGAGGATTATGCGGAGTTTCATCATAACGCATAGAGAATTTGGAAATAGCGTCTAGCATTCCTCTTGCAAGTTGAATAGCAAGTGCATGATCAGGTTGTATTTTCTCGAATTTTTTTTTAAACCCCGCGCCACGATACCATCTTTATAGCAGAACAGCTAGCCAAAAAGATTTCAAATGTCCTCATAGTAGTCTTCTATTGAACTTAATTTCGGATCTATAAAGTTTCGTAGTAAGCCGAAAGTTCTTTTCGAAAGTTGTCTAATAAATTATCATCCCGTTCAGCATTGTAGTTAATCACAATCAATTGAACTTCATCAAATCCTTTCATTTTCGCTCGTCAGCTTTTCGGCTTGGCCAAGACGCTTACAAGGGCGAAAACACATATGAGATACACACAATCATCAACTTTTTATACACTTGAGTTAAGAATGTATTGCATTTATGCAAATATCTGCGGCACCCGGAAGGACTTCAAAGAGACCCACCTTTTATTATACCGATCGATTTAGCCGTGTCTGTCCATCTGGCCGTATTGTTTTGTTGCCTCCAATTTACAGATCGCTATTTTTGAGAGATATCGATAAAATTTGACATGCCCGCATGTGTTAGATGAACGCTAGTGAAAATGGTTCGGACTTGAGTACTTTTTCAGTTGCTTCCCAAATGAAGCCTTTTTTTGAAAAGCCATTACGTGGATAACTGTTTTAAGCGAACCATATCCCACTATAGTGTTTTTACTTGTTTTCTTTTTTTTTTTTATATAAAAAATTTCTTGTATTTTATATTTGATTATTCTTATTAAACCTACCACCGAAAGATTCTGTCATAATGCCTGCAACATCCGAAAGGAAATTTCAGAGACCCTATAAAGTATAGATGCTCTTGATAAGCATGAAATTCTGAATAGACGGAGCCATGTCTCTCCGTCTATGTGATTGCGCACGCAATCCAGTCCGAACCATTTTCACTAGCGTTCGTCCTTGAGCCAGAACACGTGAGTATAATAAATTTCATCAATACCTCTCAAAAGTTATGACCTGTGAATTGAACAAACAACCCGGACAGACGGACAGGCAAGCTTAGATCAAAGCAAAAAGTGATTCTGAATCGATTGGTATAATAGAAGGTAGTTCCATTTCAAATTCTTCTGATTGTTGCATACATTCGCACAAACTTAATACATCCTTGTACCACATGTAATGCAAGGTAGAATAATTGTAAGGAAACTTATAAATGAGGAAATGGAGAAGAAGATTTTGGATTAAATTAATATCCAAAAAGTGGTGTATCTAGCGTATCTTAGACCTTACTTAGAAGTCATACATTTATAGATTACATAGATGATTAATTACCATCCTCATCAACCAATTGAAACACAAATTTATAATCACGGAAAGGTATTGCGAACGAACTGGCAAGACATCCTACGCAGCGTTCCATGACACTTTCGGAAAAACTCTGAAATTTACTTGAAATTATATTTGGGTTTAAACAACGGAGCAATCGCATTGTAATCTAGAAAATCATTAATATGATTCTTTAATGACAATGCTGTGTCATAAAATAAAGCTTCTAAAGAGAAGAAAAGATGAGGTGCCATTGAACTATGTCCTTATGCCCATTGTTCAAATCAAAGCAAAAAAAGATCATATCAGAAATCGCTACCAAAGAGATCTGTGCAGAAATACGAATTTCTTACGAACTTATAAAGCGAATTCTGCGAATATTTTGAATACATAAGGAAAGGAAGGAGATGAAATGGTTGAAAAGCCAAATAATCAGACAGCAAAAAGTTGAGTAAAATTTGTCGCAAACGATAGCTTTTATGACTCAAACCAATCATAGGCAACGAAGTGAAATGATGATATAACTTGCTTTAACGCACCTATACGTCCTATACGTCCTGCCGTTGAAGATAAGAGTTTGCCGATAGGCATCAAGAAATTGCTGAACTAAATTGGATCATATCGGATCCACAAAAGTATCGGAAGAAGAGGATAAAGAAGAAGGAAAAGAAAAGCTTAAAAGCAACAAGGTTTATAGCAAAAAACTAACAGCAAAGATAAGTAAGACGTTTAAGCAAATAAGCGACAGTAGAGAGATGTGAACCTGTCGGAAAATAAAATGCGGTATATTTTTGAAATCCAAATGAAAAGCTATAAAAGTCGCCATAAGAATCTACACTAACTTCCCTATCTTTTCTAACATAGGAGGCTTTTGTTTGCCTTCTCTTTTATTTTTAACTAAAGAGAAAACAGTTGTACATCGTTAAGAAAAGTTCTTAACAATTACGATTCCACGTACAAAGCCGCTAAATGCAAAATCCACACATAGTTACATTTCTTATAAATTATATGAAAAACTTTTTGGATTAAAAAAAAGAAAAAATAAAACTATCCAAGATAATTAGTCGTCGCTTGAAGAGACGAACGCCATTAATGAGATCTCTCTGACCTGGCGAGAGATTAGTCAGGCAATGAATGCGGCGACTACTTCTTATACTCACCTCCGAAGGATGGAGGCACATTCCATTTGTCGAAACGTTTCCCGAAAGAAGTTTGCCATTGAAAATAGACCAAATCGGTCAAAGCACAGACCCACAGGACAACACCTTCTTTTTCAGAAGCAAGCAGAATTAGGTTCTTTGCTCGTTATTCATAAATTGCAGCTGGATATATTTACATATTCCATTTTACTATAAAGGTGATGAGTTAACCAATTCAACCATAGCCGAGTATAGTTTTCTTACTTTTTTTTTTTTTTTTTTTATTCTAAAAAAATAGTGTAACTATTTTTGTCTCGTTGAAAACTCTTTAGCATCAGATTAGTAAAATATTTGAAAACGGAATCAAAAGGTTTTCAGGGTTGCATACACTAGTGCAAAATCTAATATCAACCCGTTTATCAAAGCTTTAATTTTGATAAATTGTGTTATACTGAACTTTCTGTAGACTGCCACGTAATTCATCGTTTAGACACAAACCCAAGCAAAGTACAAACCGAAGACAATGAACAAGTTTTGTTAAGGCTGTGCTGGTAAAGCAGTACTATACTGCTGTTATAAAAAATCTCCAAAATAAATCAATTATTAATCCAAAAATTTATTTCAAAACAAGTAAGAACATTATAGCCGCGCAACGCCTACCATTAAATACCCTACACCACAATGTCTAATACAATTCTTATTATTATTGGGGAACACACAATGCCATATAAAGGTATATTTTTCATGTGCGTATATCTGGGGAAGGAAAAAATAGGACAAGATGGTCCATATTTGGCAGAGTTAAGTTTTTTATGTTATATTACTTTTTGTTGTGCGAACTTCAGTTTTCTTTATACAAGAGGATGCTCAAAAACAGCCACAGCCGATCAAAACTTTTCATACCAATTTACAATGCCGAAATACTACTACTTAGGCACTTTTACCGAGAAATTTGCAAAATTACAATTTTTTCCCATATAACGATTTTTCACAATAGGGCGGCCGTAAAAGTGGACCGATGTCTCAAAAATTGCGACCTCAAGCTTAAACACAAATTTACAAGGACAGACATCAGGCGGACAGATGAACAGACTGGATTATAAAAGCTGAGTCCATCTTAAGCCCTACCGCGTCTTACGTACGACCTCACCAAGTTACTACAACAATTAGGAACACTATAGCGGGCTACAGTCAGCCATTAAATATCCTACGCCGTTTCTCCTAATATATTATTGATATAAGAGCTTTTGAAGGTAAGGTGTTACATAGGAAGTGGTCGAAAAGGTGGCACGAAGCCAACCATTCTCATCAGGGTTCGTCGGTGGGCCAAAACACATCGATGCACCATATTTCATAAAAATATTTCAAAAATTGAGGTTTGGACGTTGAACACAAGAAAGCCGGACAAGCGAGCCGGAGAGGCGAGCTTTAATAGTTTCAGAAGATTATTCTAAATCCACCGGTATAATAAAAAGACATCCACACGAACGTAACGTACTCTTGTACAACAAGTGGTATAAAGTATAACAAATACATTTCGTATAATTATTTTTAATTAAATGTTTATTTTAATGAAAAAGTGTACATCGACTTATTTATAAAAGAAAATAAAAATAAAAATTAATATTAACTTTAGAAATAAATTAAAATTATGTATTAATGAGCTAAATTTGACTTCATTTGTTCTCTGAAAAATATGTGATAAAAGTAATCACAAGTTCAAGTTCAAACACTTTCTAAAACTCTTAGTTATATACCGAGATTATTATTAAGTTATTTATATTTTTATATATTATATGTATATATATATTTGTATTTTACATATAAAGCGATCAGCATTTTATACCCACCATTGTCTATCTCTATCTCTTGGCTTATAAAATATTTTTGAAGTTACACTCGGTTTGTTTCCGAATAGTCTGTGCTGTCTGTCTGTCAGGTTGTATGTTTAGTGAGATACAAATGTCGATCAAAAAATAATTGCACAAATTGAATGTAAAAAGCCCACAAAAGGAACGCTGAAGTAAACCAGGCACATTCTCAATGAGAACATTCGATTAACTTTTATAAAATTAACCTGAGATGTAAGTTATAGATCGGATACTAGATAGGATGTGAAATATGTCCAAATCTCTCTGTTAAAGAATGACCGGGAAATTTAATAGTTTCTACCCCAAAAAGGCTGGTGAATATAAAACAAAAAATTCGTTTCAAGCCGAATATAAAAAAATTTCTTTTGGCCTTATTTTTTCTTTTTTTTTTAATAAATATTTTCAAAAATCACATATAAATTAAAATAAAAAAAGCCGAATATTTGCCAATATTTTAATTACATCGTAAAGCAAGTGTTTTATGAAAGTTACTTTGAATACTTTGGATATTTATTGAATTTCGGAGAGTTTAAAGAAGAGTAGAAGTTACAAAAAAAGTATTAAGAAGTAAGAAAAATGATTGGGTTAAATATCTTATGGGGATTTTTTCTTCACATTCATTTGTTTAAATAAATTAGTCTATGCGAGTTTATAACTCGGGAGTTAAAGTTAAAAATCTGGATCATAATCTCTTGGATAACGTGCTCTACTACTATTCACCTGATTATTATACGTATACATTTGATGAGCATCCGCAAATGCGTCAGGATACTGATGACCGTAAATTGGTGTGTGCTGATGTCCCGAATAGTGAGAAGAAGGCGGATGATGTTTAAGAGATCGTTCTAAGGAATCACCTTTCTGTGTATAATTTTGATTATCAAAATAATAATCACCATGACGATTGGAGCGCCAACTATCATAAATATTAGAACCGCTACTATCGTGCACAGAATTTGTAAAACGCTGAGACGTGAAATTTCCAAGTGAATAATTCGAGCGAGAAATGTGAAAAAAGAAAAACACTTTACCTTGGGTTTAATAGATTCCTTAGTATCATTCCAGGCGTCATCGATATTATAGAAATCATCAACACCATAATTGTCTACACCACCCATATGATTGATTTTCAATTCGTTTAACATGTCATTACTCAACGGTATAGGAGTCTTTTTAGAGCGTTTCTGACGATTAAGTAGCTGCATAAGAAGATTAAATTATACATCGTGTAACAGCCAAGTTTAAATTGCTTCTTACCACTGTTACCCCGAAAGCTACTACAAAGACTAAAGAACCCACTCCTATCACAATAATCACTATAGCCCATTGCGGTATTAATAGATCTTCTTCGGCATATTCTATGCCGGGAGTCAGAGACTTTGGTATAACTAAAAATAGATTTAATGGTTAATCCCCTAATAATAATAATTATTTTATATATTTAACTTACCTGTAAAATCCGTCGCTACTGGATCGATAACGTATTTACCCATTAAAAACGTTTCCTTGACTAGTTTCTCATCTTTCAAATCCTGTTTGTATTCCTCACTTTCATCATCGCCATCCGTTTCATTCTCAGATTCCGAATTTTCCGGTACCAAAGGTTGGGGTGTTAACGCCGAATGGAAAAGTTTCTTGATTTGTAAGGTGTTAACATCTTTAGTTATGTTAGCCAATTCCACGTAATAATCAACCAAAACGCTACCTTTACTAAAACTATCAATGCGTACTTTCTTGTACCATTTACTAAGTTGTGGAGCACCCGAGTAGACTTCGTTCAGCTGTAATTATATATATTGTATGTTACAAATTGATTATAAATTGATATCATTTACGCCTTTTTTCAAGCTCGACCTGTAGCAGTCAAGCTCCTAAGTACCCGGTTTCAGTTTTCTACCTCAAATTTTTACGAATGTGTGAATACTTAAACATGAATATACGGACATCGTGGCGACCATGAATAAAACAAAAGTAAGTAGCTTGTTTAGATATTCAACATTCTCTCGTTCATACTGCTTTTAGTAGAGTCTTTGTTTTCGATGCGTGTCACGTCTTCTTGTCAAAATTGTGATAAAAGTAAGGAGAAACTTACTGTACTTTTATCTTTAGGCAGTCCATCGCAAATTTTGGGACGTAAATGGCAACAATTTCTCAATCAAACATATCTTTGTATAAAAGCGTCTTAACAATAAACGGACGAACACAGTCATATATAAGATTGTACATATTTTGAGGTGTCTTTCTATCTTTACAATAAGAATGACATGTCGAATATTTCTCTTCTCTTTCGGTAGTAAATATAAACTCCTTGAGATACTTCGATTTTTCTTGTTTTTTACTCCTCTTACCTGAGCTTCTACTTCTCGAGCTAAATTCTTCCATTCAAGGGTATTATGATCCAATAATTCCGGCTTCCATGCAACACCTTCTATAATTCTTATTGTTGCGGCCAAATCACAGTCCAGCGTGCAGTGACCGGGTCTTGTGGGTTTCGGTGTAGTCGTTGTCGTAGTAGTGGTCGTAGTCGTCGTTGTTGAAGTGCTAGAAGTTGACGATAAAAGATCCTCAAAGTTTATGGAAACTGTTCTAGCTTGTTCCAATAGCTTCTCGATAGAAATTGGTGTAGTTGAGGGCGTTGGCCAACCTGTAAATTCCGTGGTAGCTCTAGTCGGTGGACCTTTTTTTATTACCACAGAGGGTGCAGTAGGACCCAAATCAATATAATCATTAGATTTTGGTGTCGTTAACCGTTGAGCTCCTATTCGCTTATGAATACCTTTTGGGAACACGACTTTAAGACCAGTAGTAATCGATGAAGATACGGTTGAAGAGATAGCAGAAGATGGAGAAGCTCCATCAGGCTTAATAGTTGTGGTCGTTGAAGTGGTAGTGCTCGTAGACGCTGGATGCTGTTTATTCAAACTTTCGGTAGTATTTAATTTGAAACCGGCCGGTAATAACGAAGCTGCGTCCTTGAATTCTATTTTCATAAAAATGTCATCTGATTTCTGAACTTTAACTCCGTCCGGTTTATATCCCTTTGGCAACAATTGAGAAATATCTATAGTTTCAGGTTCCAATTTAGAAGGTTTCTTAGTTGTTCTCAATTTATAACCGGGCGGAAGATATTTGCTTAAGTCATCACTTTCAATGGTTAAAATCCCATCATCATTATTCTTTGCCGTAATAATTGTCTCTGAAGACGGAGTTAATAAAGGTTTCGTTGTGCTGGTTCCAACCGTATCGTTCACTCGGTAACCAGGTGGCAGAAATTTAGATAAATCATTGACTAAAGTAACCGCTGGCTTGTTAGTAGTGGGCACTTTATAATCTTTGGGTAACAGCTTATCAGGATTTTCATCAAATTTAATTTTACTTAGGAGATTATCGAATTCATTTTTGGGAGTTTCCGCAGTTGTTGTTGTTGTGACGGATGGCTTGTAAGATTTGGACAATAAACCACTCAGACCAACGTCTTGTGCTTGCACCGAGGAAGTCTTGAAAGAACGACTTATAGTCGAGTTGCGTATAGGTTTCTTGAACTCTATTCCTTTAATACCCAATTTTGGTTTTACGGTGGTTGTGGTTGTTGTCGTTGTTGTTGTGGTGGTTGTAGTGATTTTCCGATTTTTATATGAAGGCTTTGGTTTGAAGCCTACTGGCAACAATCCAGCCAAATCATCCATTTCAGTTTCTTCAAATCGATGAATTTTGACTTTAGGAGACGAAGTGGTTTTTGGTTGAAATTTGCGTATATTTGGTACGAATTTTGAACCTGAAGTAGACGTTGTAGCTTGGGTCGAAATATCCATTTGACTTATAATGGGATATTTGCCTGCTAGTAAGCCGCTAGAAAGCTCAGATTGTACTCTGTCCAGTTTATCGATTATGCTTTCAGTAGAGGACGAAGCTGGCGGGCTGGTAGATGATTCTGCTGGGACAGAGGTGGTCACGGGTTTGACGATCTCATCAACGTTTTCTATCTCCGCATATTTATTAGATCCTTCCGGCTGACCAGCGGGGAAGGGCATAAATCTGGCTCCATTTTCACTACGGCTAGTTGACACTGAAGGTTGTACAGTATGATTTTCGTTAGCATCTCCTAATGTTTTTGCTGTGATGGACGTTTCTTTTAATTCGAGCGAAGACTCAGTAGCAGCGAACAACTTGTTCTCAATAGTTTCTTCTTGAAGGACAGATGTAATTGACTTCGGAGTAACCGGGGAAGGAACAGATGTAGAACCATTAATAACGCTTTTGGTGGTAACAACCGATACAACTTCCCTATCCAAAATTTCATCGTCTGTCCACATCGCAGTAGTCGCAGGGCTTTCTTGATCGATAGGCAAACTGGCTGAACCCTCTCGAACGGTGTGATCATCTACTTCAACTTGATCGTCACCACTTTCTTCTTCGTCTTCTTCTTCATCATATTCTTCGTCACCTTCCTCTTCACCTTCTTCTCCATCATCTTCGTCTGCGTCGTCATCATCTTCGTCAGCCTCGTCCTCTTCGTCGTCAGCTTTTGCAGCACTTCCTTCTTTAATGTTCTCACCAAAACTATGTTTTTTCACACCGCTAGTAGGTTTTGTAGTGGTTACTAGAAGACTGTCTGCATCACCTACTGAAGAATGTTCAGTTGTTATAGGTATAGCGATTGGTTCGAAAGTAGTTTTCAAATTTGACTTTCCTAAATTTTCAGTCGAATCATAGCTATCGTCTTCCGTTGACCTTTCTGTGCTGCTTTCAATTGAAGTACTTTCAACATGCTTTTCCACGCTTTCGTTTGTTCTGGCAGGTGAAGTTTCACTGTCATTGCCTGTGTCCTCTTGACTTTGCTCATATTCCTCAGATTCTTCTTTTTCCTCATTATCTTCCTTGTCGCTCTCGGCTTCAGAACTTTCCGAAGCAGAATTTTGACCTGAAATATCTTCCTGCTCTTCTTTATTAATTGTTTTGGCTACTTCTAAAGACTTTTCTATCGCAGTTTTAACTTCTGCTTCGTGTAACTGCAATTTTTCCAAGCTGGTCTCATTATTATCACGACCGAGATGATTCTCCCCGACCTCATGCAACTCTTCATCATATTCGACGCTAAGAGGCTCGGCCTGTTTTTCGTGTAGTTGACTAATGGCCGTTTTGAAAGGTGACGACGAGGCTGATATTTGTTGTTTCAGTAATTTGTCCTTTGAAGGCAATTTAACTCGTCCCATTTTTTCGCCAAATAACTTACGTACTTTTGCGGATTGTACAGGTTCATTTACCTCGCGACTGGTATATATGGGCCTTCTGGATTTATAAACAGACGATCTATTAGCACTAGGTTTATTTTCTGGAATACTACTTTGTGTGGATGAGCGAAAACCATTGTTGGCAAATTGCTGAGTTCTTGACGAACCAAAACGATTGTAACGTTTACTAGTTGAAGACTCTGTTGAAGTTGTGCTGGTCGAGGACGTACTGGAGGCTGAATTGGGTTGAAACCGGTTACGGGTATTACGAAAAGGAAGTTGTTGGGGCGTCACAGGACCTAAAGGTACATCTGAATTGTAAGATGTGCCTAATTGTCTATTACGATTATTACTCGGTGTAAAGCCACCTGTACCGAATGGTCGCGACCCCGAACTACCAAAACTGGTGAAAGGTATACGATTAGGAGATGTACCTTTATCCGCCTGAAAGAGAAGAAAAAGATAATCATTTAAGTTAAATCGTACAACGGCTTCTCTCCAGGCAGTTTATCTTATATTTACAGAAAGCAAACCTCGCACACACCTATACTGATATCACATTGATTTAACTTCTCAACATCTAAAATATTAGTACACCCAGCGTATGTATGAATGGTCGTTTCATTTAATGTAAAGCATTTTTAAAATTGAAAAAAATTGCATAAATTACAAACGAATTTCAATCTATTGTTGCCGTTATTGCTGCTCTAGTACCTTTCAACCACTAATTAAATATCAACAAGTTTACACCACAAAGCTAAGAAAAACAAAAACGTCTACATTTATATGCAAACACAACTCGCGATAATGTTAATGATACTGTAACAGCGAACATTAAGAAAACAATCAAAACCGAACCTGATTTTTTTATGCTTTTACGTTTTTTTTTTTTTACGTGGGAATATTCACCATTTCAAAACTGTAGCAAACAAAATTCAATTGTTGTGTGAGATCTTTTAAGCTCTTGTTTCATAAAAACATGTTTTATTTTTCTTCTTTTTTTTTTTTTTTCTTAATTTTATATTTATTTCATTTCAATTAAACCGAAAAGTTCTCAAAAGAAATTCAAATTCTTATGCACAGCGTGCAAATGTTGCATAAGGAGCTAAGTTCATTGCACTAATGATGAGAATTTGTTAATAACTGTAAACTAATTTTATCATAATAATTTATTACATTGATCATGTAAAAGAATTTCTGATTGAAAACCATTGAAACAAACTTTTACATATGAAGCGCTTGCCAATAAAACGATTAGCGCTCCGTGCCGAAGATAATCATAAAAGTTTAACATTTCATAAAAAAAAATCATACAATTTAAATGAAAAATTTATTAGTGCTGGAAATTACTAAACTATTAGGTCGTAGAAAAAGTCATGAAACATCTTTATGTCTTCAAAGTGACTTGAATACACATGTCTTGCTATGCGTCTGTAGAATTGCTGTTGCATAATCTGTTTTCGATCGGATTATTACTCGCATTCCAAATCACAGAGTGACAACGAAACAGCGTTCGCTGCCAGAATATTACTTTAGCAACTAATTTTCGTATTAAGGTTATTCACAGAATAGCTCACAGCCATCGAATGAAATTACTCATATGAAACAATATACGGCGGCGGAAGAAATATGGCAAATCGCTGCTAAGCGTAGCTAACTGTTGCTAAACAAGTTTTTCAACATGTAATCGAACGCCCTTACCTTAAAAAATGATTCTGGTGCCCCTTTTACCCTTTTGCAGCTAGTTCTTCCACAATGATCACCACAATTGCATTGGTTTTTCTGTCTTTCTGGGACCAACCAATCAAGGGATGTCCCCTATATGTGTAGGCGCAGTGGTTCTAAATGCTTTGCTTATATCTGATTCATAAGCACAACACAGTCCACATTGCACTGATGCTTAAGAGGAGATAAAATTTTGGACACAGCCACATTACTCATGACCATCCGAGCTCTTCGCTGTACACGATCGAGGGCTTGCTAGATGAGATCTAGACGTCCACACGTTGCTGTTCATAGAGTTCCATATCAACAGTCTTTTTTTAATTCGAGCAATACAGAAATGCATGACGTAACCAACCTCCCCCGCCCTTCTCGCTTTTTCCACCCGTCAGAACAGTGAGAAGTCTCAGAAATATCCAATGCGATGTAATACCATATACACTTTCTTTTGAAAATCCCTTAGAATTCTAGACGAAATATATGCTTGGCTTACGATCGCAGGTCAAATTCTAAACTAGCCGTTATACATTGTCGCTATAAAAAAAATTATGAATAACAAGAAAATATATTATAGTCAGACGAGGCCGACCATTAAATACCTTTCATCGCATTGTCTAACAAAATTCCGATTTTTATTATAGAACACACAAATTATATCTTGTTACTATATAAAGGCATATTTTTCGTGTGCGTATTTCTGGGTAAGCGGGCCCAAAACGCAACGTAATGTAGTAAAAGTTAAACCTTAGATAGAGAATGATCAAGAAAACAGGCGTCGACGATCCAAATTTTGTGGGTTCCAGTTTTATATGAAATTACTATTAGGGATCAGTTTTCATCAGCACATATTAAAAGTTAGATTTTTCTGCTCTACAAAGGATCAATTTTCGTGAAAATCCTTGTTAGGCTAGGATCCAAAATGTAGGTCAAGATGGTCCAAATTTGATAGAGTTAATTTTTTTATGTTAAATTTCTACTATGGTATAATTTTTCATCATGAAGCACTGAAAATTATGCCTTTTTGTTGTTTGAACTTGACTTTTCTAAATGTGAGAGGATACTCAAAAATTTCCCCGGCCGGTCGAAGGTTTTCTTACAAAAGTAGAGTGCCGAAATACTTCTACTTACCCACTTTTGTCGAGAAATTTTGAAAATTAAAATTTTTTTCCATATAACAATTTTTTAGAATAGGGCCTTATATGGCGAATAGTCGAAAAAGTGGACCAATTCAAACCATTTTTAATACAAATCGTCCTTAGCAAAGGAGACGTCGCTGTACCAAATTTCCTCAAATTATCTCAGAAAGTGTGACCTGTAGCTTGAACACAAATTTACATCGGCAGACATCAGACGGACAGACGGACAGACATGCCCAGATTAATAATAGTATAATAAAAGGTAAGTCTATCTTAAAACCTTCTGCTTGTTACATACGCCGGAACTCACTTGATATACGCTGCACGACAAGTGGTATAGGGTATAAAAACCTGTAACAGGGAATTAATATAAAAAATGTTACAAATTTAAGATGCTTTTCATGCATCCAAGATCGAGATGTCTATGCTCTGCTAATCTGTTTCATCACATATTGAAATAGATCGATGAGTAGAAAAAATGATTTCGACAACAATGAAGAAACAATTCTCAAAATTAATCAATCTCCATCAATTCACCACAATAACGAATATTTGGTTTTATTTATATCTAAAATGAAAAGAATACAAAATCCAAACGATCCTTAAATTAATTGAAGTTTGTTTGCCATTAGCACAATGCAATAAAAAATTTTTCATTTCTACCAAATAGTGTTCCCATTCCTAACAACATTAATAGCCGTTTGTTTAAGTTAAAAGCTTTTCCACAACGATGTTATGTTCGTTTTATTATTTACTTTGTAACTTAACGAAAATAAAAGTGCGACCGAGTTTGGTTGCTGTGTTCATCCTTATAGTCAACGTTGGAAATTCGACAAACAGGAAAAACAGTCTAAAGCTCAGCACCAAAACAAAATATACCAAAAATGAAAGAAAGCACAAGGACAAGAAATAATCAGAAAAACCGAAAGATTTTTATGCGTCTCTGGAGGGATCAAAGCTATTTTTGCTAAGATTTTTAATTACCCGTAAATGATTCAAGACCGTTTTTAGGCTTGATCTACTCCCTATAGGATGATAACGTCGACTTGACATTTCGATGTTACCTCTCTATCTTTATTTTCGCTAAATCGCCAACGACAGACAATGGAGGAATGAACCTGATGGGCTGATAAAGCCAGCTAGGGCTTTCAAAATTTTCGATGGGAGATATCCGTAAGAGTGAAGACAGAACTACTTACATCGTTATCAGGAACGATATAAGCCTAACTTTTATGATGATTTATGCTTCTCTCGATCAATCGATATTGTTGAAACCACAGTTTAAAGTAAATTCAAGCAATATTTCTATACGAGCATTAATTCGTGTAAAATGCGTTAAGGTTTTTGTTTGTTTAAATTACGCTACAATTGCCCACAACATACGCTCAGACAAATCTACGCTTTTATTTGATGTCTTGTAAAACGTGGGTATACCCACATTTGGCTATCAAAAATATTTGCTGAAACATTGCTGGCTTTAAAGCTTGTTATGTAAGGTAGTGTTGTCTGCGTTTTGTGCTTCACAAGAGAAACATAAATATTTATAACAAAAAAGGTAATAACGCAGATTTGCTATTAATTTCGATTTTTTTCGGTTTTCTTTCTTACTAACACTTGTCTCATATTCTAGGCACATATGAAAATAAATATTTTTACTGATTATTTAACCGGTTTATGCTGATTTAGTAATGTGAGTATTTTAAGAAGTTATTTAGACCTCGACTCTAATATTACGATTAATTAACTATCACAATAAATTAAAAAAAAAAAAAAAAAAAACAATAGCCACATATTAAGAGTAACTTACCGTCGGCTCGTTAAATTGAGCTAAAAATTGTGTTTGCTGATGCGGTACATTTGCTCTTTGCGGGACAAATCCATTGCTTTGTGTTAAACTGTTTCCCGGCCTTAACGATTTACTTCGCGTATAGCCGGTATTTAATGATGAGCTCCCACCATTCGGTTGGTTTGTTGCGCCAAAAGGCCGCGGAGATATATCATAAAAATCGTTATTGCGATTATTCTGTGAAAAGAAAGAAATAAAATAAAATTATTCATCGATTTTTAATAACTCATTAAAAATAAATGAAAAAATATTTAATCTTAAGAGTTTTCTCCCACCGAATGCATTAAGTAGATTACCTTATTGCCCTTTGTTTATCGGAAAGCAAGCTTTGCTTCGCCTCTCTCGACTTTCACATTTGTCTCATTATTATTATTGTCTTTAAATTGACTTTTATTCCACAGTCTTAAGCGTATTTTCTTTCAAGTTGAACTCATCACAATTTTCATTAACATTTTAATATCGTATTGTATAGTATTATATATTGTTGTGCACTATAAAAACCGCAAGTAATATTATGTGTGCAATGGAAACTCGGTCATGGTTAAATGTCAGTGTGTTTTAATGTAAAAAGGTCATTACAATGAACTGCTTTTGAGATGGCATTGCAACTAAAGTTCATTAAACAAATAAATTGTTTCAAATTAGTTTCGGTTTTCAAATAAGTAAATGATTACGTTATTTATTCACCTCGATATTCAGTAGAAATAATAAATTGATAAATTAATCCGACATCAATCTACGTTCGTCTACGTCTAACATTGTCAATATAGTCAAATTGCTAGTGATTTTGTCTGCCCTCTTAGGTGGAGGGTACTTTTCTACTAACTTCTCTCATTGATCATTCAAATTTTTTTTACAATATTCTTGTTATTTGACAAGATTAGATGTTATATATAACATTATATAAAAAACGAATAATAAGTGAACTTAGACTGTCTTTTTATACCTATCACAATTTTGAATGGATGTATCAAAACTTATTCTTCGTGAAAATGGCCCGCAATTTTTAACTAATCCGTATATGGTCTAGTTATCTAATTTTAAACGACTCAGAAGATCGACTTTGCGCATTTAGTCATACTAAAGGTATAACGAGTCCTGTATATCCATCACCGTTGTTTCAAAAAAAACCAAAAAAAAAGGAGAAGGACCAAATTTTCATAATATTGGGTGGGCGGGGCTGATTTTTTCTACCACTCAGAGCAGAAGTGAAAACTTGCGTAGTGTATGTGTTTCACTTTATGAACAACAACCAAAAAACATGGAAAGCAAAGTTTTTTTTTCGTCGGCATGTGGGCATTGTAGGCATGTCCTTTGATCAGTTCGGATCGCTTTCCAACTATTTTGCATATTTTTGAAAGCAAGTATGTTTACTACACAGTTGAGCAGGCGAATATATAGGCAGATACTCAGACGGGCAGATTTAGGTGCATTTCGAATCTGAGTCTGACCAAGAATTTATATACTTTATGAAGCCTTTTTCTACACATTATAAAGGTATTGAAAAAAAAAATGAAATTTTGATACCCTATAATATTGGGTAGATATGACCAACATTTTCCCTTGCAGAATGTATATTCACGTCGTCTTTATTTGCCAAAATATTAATGGGTAACGAGCTGAAAACTAATTTTTTATTCGTTTTGAAAAACAGAGGTGTTCTCAGTTTACGTAGCACTATATGCGTGTCCTTCGATCCATTTCTAATTCATATGAATATGACGGTGTACAAAAATTCATCAAAATGTCTTCAAAATTGCTTTAGGTAATATATTATACAAAAAGAGAAGACGGACAGATGGAGAGACGAACCAGTAAGCTTCCAGTTGAGAAAATGATTGTGAATTAATCGGTATAATAGAAGACGAATCTGTCTGAAAGCCTTCTGGATGTTGTATACATCCCTGCAAACTTTACGCGCGGTTATATAGGCTATGCTGTATGAAATGAAAACCACCTTTCGCTTATTTCCTGCAAAGAGCATAAAAATGTTGCAATTATTTTTTCTTCCATTTTCTGTACATATTTTCTTCTACATTTTCTTCAATTTTTAAAAACTTCGATGCGTTTTCCTTTCTCATCGTATACCGTTGCACTGTACTCTGTACTCATTATAATATTGTAAATCTGCCGAAGTGTAAATCATAAGTATACGATGACATGTTTTTTGGAGCCTCCACTTATGTTTATGCTTAAACGTCACAGTGCCAATAAATCACAAAAAGATAACAAGGGCAGTTTTATCTTTGTTTGACAGAAACATGTGGCCAGCGATCTGGTGGTGGTTGCGCTTAGAATAAGGGAGCAACACATAAGTAAGGAAGAAAACGGCACAATTTTGCGAAATCTTCCACGACTAAGACTTATCCTTTCCTATTTGTAAGAAGAAGAATAGAAGTAGTTCTTGACATAGTTGTTCATCAAAAGTTAATGCAATTCTTCAATTATTTTAATTTAATAACATGTTCCACATGAGTTAAGAAAATAAATAAAATTTTGTTAACATAAAACTTGATTGGAACACATTTACTAAAGATCCCATAAAACCTTATCTCAGGGCGGAATGAAGAAACTTTGCATATAATACATATTATTATCGCATGTATATATGTCGATGCTTATGGGTACATAGGTACGCGTCTATAATTGAAAATCATTCATTTATTGCTGGGTGGTGCAATGGTCGTACAATTTATTTAATATGTGCCGCACAACACCAGTATTTTATAAACAATTGTATGTGACTTAATAAAAATTATTATGTGTGCAGTGTATAGAAATAATAATACAAAAAAAAAAAGAAAAAAACTTTCACTTGACCAAAATTAGTAAAGGTAATTTTTTCTTTTATTATAAAGGAAATAAAAAATGAAACCAAAACAAATAAATAGGAAACCAATTTTCAACTCTATACCGGTGGAGAATGAAAGTGTATTGATTTTCTTTTTTGTTTTTGCTGTTTCCAACGACAGAGGGCTAAAGCGAACATAGCAAAGTGGGCAGGAAATGAAGTTGAACAAGAGTCGGAATGGAAAAAGGAAAAGGAATTAATCGGTCAACTAAAACCACAAATCGATAACAAGTTCGACTGTTGGGCTCAAAATCAATCAAAATCAATTTTAATCTTGAAATTTGGAAGACATTTGGAAGACATTTATTTATTCGTTTTCTTTGGCACCTATGCGAATATGGTCATGGGCACACAAGCCCGCTAAGTGTAGTAAGAAGAATTATATTTCCTGGTGCGCATATTTTAGCCACAAGAAAATTACGCCCTGGCGACTTCATATTCTTGCCAATTTCGTTTCCCCAAAATGACAAAAACTGCAATGTGTGAATGGACAGTCGTGGATATATGTAATAACGGTTCTAATGGTACGAATTTAAGGAATAGGCGTCACTGTCCGTAAATTGACAACTGCTTCATGGCGTAGGAATAATGACATACCTAGATCGATACAGAATTTAATAATCAAGAGTATATGCAAAAAATGATTATGTCAAGTATTATATTAAAATCCGCACTATTAAATAGAACCGTTTAGTAGACAGGAAACTCAATTCAAAATAATGAAAATAATATAAGAAGTACTTGTATGTGTTTTGACCATTTTTTTACATGAAGAATTGATACATAATGCAATGGGAACAGTGGAGAAAATTTTGTCGCGGTACGTTCACAATGCTGCTCTTCTCCCCGTACCCAACCCGTTGTTCGTTTAAAGTATGATTAATATGGTGCTTCCTTGTTTGTGCTTGTGAATGTTCACTAACAAGCAGTTCGTTTAACTGACACTCTTAACGGGAAGATAAACTATTTGATCATTTTTTCGCCTAGAAACTGAATTTCTAGAGAAAAATTGGAAAAATATATAATAATCAAAATATTTTTCATCATTGTCGACAGCTTTTTCCCATCTTTTTGGCAACATGGCGCCACTGTGTAGATTGTTAGCATTAACACATTTTCGCACGTTTTCAGCATTTCGAAACGGTATGCAGCCCAAGCCATGCTGCATTGATCTGGACAAATAAGATAATAAGAAGGCGCTATGTCTGATGAGTACATTGGGAGCGGAAAAACTGCCCATTCGAGCTGCGCATGGTGTATCCTTCACAACTCTAAGAAGGTGTAGCCGAGCGTTGTCATGCAAGACTTTACGTAAGTTAACTATTATTGGCCGTCCTTACATCGGCCAGTTTGTTCACTTGACGTCGGCGGTCATCTGCAGTAACAGTTTCATTCGGTCTTAGCGGCTCGTAATATAGTATACTTTGCTGATCCCACCACACGCACAACAAAACTTCTTGAATAGAAAGAATATGAATATGCTGCCTGGGGTCGATGTGGATTGCTCTCCTGGACTAACCCATGACTTTTTGCGCTTGGTATTCTCCTAGTAGATCCAATCTTCATCGCCAGTCATATACGCCATAGGACGCTCTCTAACGAAGCTGTATTGTTCAAATGGTTCGAAATGGCATTTTCCCTCCTTGTGATTCATCAATTTTTAAGCTGTTCGAAAGTTCATGGAAAGCTTGAACTCGATTTTCGTGCAATAAGTTTTGCAATTCATTGCCCACGAACTTTCTTGCTCTTGCAGGCCTTCTTTGTCGTGTACAACAAAATCATCAATTTTGAACCGTTAAAACCAAGACCGGAATACGATGGAGTAGCATCACTATTAGACATTAACAGTCCAATGATTGCAAGACCTTGCAACTTGACTCGACAACGTTCACTGAAATAGCATTACTGTTTATTTTTGTTTTTCGTGGGTTTTCTTTTGACTTTCCGCTCTCGGCTTTCCACTAAGAATCTAAACATGTACATTTTACTTATAAAAGCTTTTTATATTATAATTTCTAAAGCTGGACAAAACTGGACCCGGGAATGCATACCTATTTGCCGATGATGAGCATAAAAAACTAATTACAAGTCTGATGTTTGCGACATGTGCTCAACAAATCGATTAAAGAATCAAAAGCTAGGCCCGGTAAGAGGTCGTCCTTTAACATGTTTAGTATCGCGGCTAAATAGGGTGCATGTAATTCCCAATTTTATGCAATCATTTACTTACTTATTTTACTGTGCGGATATTCTACAGCAAAGTTAACTTGAAAATTTGTATTTTTATTCTAACTGCGACTTAGTTCCTAGAACTTACCGCAAATTGTGTATTAAAAGGATTATAAGCCGACGAAGAGCCCAGAGTTTGTACAGGTGATTTCGCCTCGTTGCCGATGAAAAGTATTTGATCTTGATAAGAGCCGGGCTGAGCGCCCGGAAAGCCAGCACCATTTGTTGAACGTGTAAAGCCGTTGGATAATTGCCTTGTATTTGGATACGATGAGGATGGCACAAAGCGATTTTGACTATTTGGTATATAATATTCTGTAATAATGAGATAGAAGTTAAAGTGCAATTATTTTAATGAATTGAAAAAGTTATTTATAAAAATTTCTCCCAGTCATAAATTTTGCAAAATATTTTATTTTAATTAACACATATTTACTTTATGAAAAATAAGAAAATGTGTGTTTATGTATGTACTTTTCAAGTAATCATCATGACACTTGCGTACGAGCAGACATTTCACTTTTATGTTAATGTTCAGGCCATTCATTTAAACGTCTTTCAAAGGGGCAGTTATGAAATGATAATTGCACTGCAAAGCATATACACTCGTACACTTGTACAGTCCTAACGTAAAAGGTAGATTTTTATTGTTTTTCATATAGAAAATACATAAGCCATAAATGCAAATACGTTTTTTTCTTCGTCTCTTTCGGCGGGTGGTTAAAAATTTTATTAATTGCAAGCATAACAACAAATAGGTATTTAAAAGATTTTTGATAAGTAAAATAAAAAATTTTCTTAAAATATTTTTTAAAGTTTCATATTCGGTTAATAAGTTTATGTCACGCAGTCACTACTAATTAAACAACTTTTTGTTAATATCCATCATAAAGCAGCTAATTAAACATTTAATAGCTTTTGAATACCACGACAAAACGAACTGAGCAAAAAAATATCTAGAAGCCCGAAAAAATAGTCAAATCATACAGTCATTATTTATAAAAGTTAAAAATTTACAGTCTAAGATTTTTTCAATATTTCTCTTCTCCTATCTTCCCAAAAATCACTTTACAGCATTTGCAGCACGGCATACGACCGCAGGCTTCCCAGCTAAAGTCTTTAACAAGTAGTAAAATGCCAAGAAGTTCACATTGCAAAAAAAAACAATAACAAAAAACATAAAAACACATTAATAACTTTAGAAAGACTCACTACACAAGCATTTGATATTTGCAAGAAATTTGTAATCAGTTTGCATCGAATTTGTTAACACCTAACGCTTGCTTGTTACAATGATTGTGTAAAAATAAATGAATTGCTTGGATCAAAAAGTAAGGAGAATTTCCACTTTCCTTTAAAAATGGATGCTATCTTTAGAAAGATGCAAAGCCTACCTTGTATGTAGAGAAGGAATAAAGGGGATCAATTTTACTTTCGTTGCATCCGAAGGATTTGTGGAGTCATCTGTTTTCAAAATCCATTAATTATTATTATTATTATTATTATTATTACTATTATTAATTTCGCCAGAGAAATAAATTCTAAGACTTAACTCTTAAAAGCACTAGCATCTAAGGCTATCAACGGCTTTTATTAAAAACTCTACCGACATGCTAGTCGAAATTCCTCGCCTTCGGCTACTCAGGCGGATTCAAAATCCAATTAAAACAAACAAAGCGTTCAAAGCATTGAAGCAATCGCTGCGATATTGATATGTCTAAGGCGTGAGTTTATGTATGTTACAAAGAGAAAGCAAGCATCAGGACTTTTTCTTTAAAATCGTAGAATTTAACATAGACAGCTTAAACATTGCACATACATTATAAGCTGATCTTTGGTACAATTCGTAATCCTAATCGGACTAGGTGTTTTCATGAGCATCATAGGCTCAAACTCACAAAGGAATGTTGAACACGAAGTTCCTTCTAGTTTGCATTTATTTGTGTATCGAATATATATAACTATAAGATATCATCTGAAGATTACAAAGAAACTTATATTCGGCAGTAACCAAGTCTTTTATATTCTTATTATTATTATTGTTATTATTATTATTATTATTACTATTATTATTATTATAGTTATTATTATTGTTATTATTATTATAATTATTATTATTATTATTATTATTGTCGCTGTGGTTTGCAACTCACAACTAAAATCCCGAAAAACAGACATATTCTCCATTGGCATACCCATGGACCGATTTAGCCCATTTTCAAGATCAATCTGCCTGCAAGAACACTCCAAGAAAGCTACATTCGTGCATAAGCTTTGCTTCATTTCTTAGCTCGTAAAGAAATTATTAAATGTGTTACTCTTCGGAAATGCATGCTCTGAGATGGTATGCAGAATTGCTCAACACGTGTCTGTCTCAAATTTTTACTACATTGCGCACTTCCTGTATAAGAAGCGAGTCTTCTTTTCAACTGTAAGCATGCGAGGCTCATCGCGGTAAAGTTCTTTAGAAAAGCAAAAAGACTATGTAAAATACTCAAAATGTTTAAGTTAAGCTCAAGTTAGGCCTAAAGGTCCGATTAAGGTTAAGAAGAGTTCTTAAAGAAACTTTCGAAGATGCAATTTTTCTTATTTTTTCATTGCTCCTTTCAGCTTACAACTTCACCAAATTATCCATTTCTATTTAGGGGCAATAAATTTTTCAGAGCCATTTAACGCTCCATTACCAAATTAGTCTTCTGTGTCACATATGACCAAGTTTATAGCAGAGCTAACGTAAACCCAAGGGCAGTGCCCGATTTGGCCGGTTCTTGATAAACTCGATCAAGTACACTCGATAGGTGTGGATTACGGATTCGCTGTAATGGGTAGAGAATTTACAGCCCCCGATAAAGTAGACATTCTTCTTACTATCGAATAAAGAGGCTTTCAATCGCAAAATTGCTGTCAAGTAGCATACTCAAATTACGTAAGATTATTTTTGAATTTCAATTGGACGAAAAAAGTAGAGAGAATCTTAATTCTTGTAGCGAGAATCTTGAAGTTTTCATTGAGATTCTAATAGGGAATCAGTGATGACATCCTTAAAAATGGATAAAATTATATTTCTTTTCATTTCGAAGAATTTATATAACTCATGAGTTCTCTATTAAATCATTTTATGGTTAATAAGCATACGACGAAACTCGTATGTCATTAAGTCGTAAAGAAAATTAACATTCTCTTTATCTGCGCTTTTGGAACTTTTTCAAAAAACCGTTTTTGGAATTTATATAAAATATTCTAATGAACTAAGAAATTCAAGTCTGCTGTTTATAACGTACAACACCAACACAGCTAGCCACCTACTCTTCTATAACGTATTTTACCGCACCTTATTTAATGTTTTCATTGTTACTGTCAATGCGGTGTATTTTTTTTAATTTTTTTTCTTTATATTTTCATACAATATTTAGGTCAATATTTTATTAGATAACTTTTGCATATTAATGTGTTGTGCTGTTTTTTCAAGAATTTTTCTTTTCTTAGCAATCAATGTTACATATGAAAAAACTCTTTGTATACGCATGAAGGGGTCAAAATTTTTTCTGCAGTAAACAATAAAGAATTCTATAAAGTCAAGTATCGCGAACGACCTCATGAAGCAAAATGAGTAAAATAACCATTGAATTTTTCAATTTCCTGCCAGAGAAGGACTAGTATAATTAGAACATTGCATTTATAAGAAATGCAACTACATATGTATGTCGCATAAAATTTTAATCATTTCGATCACACATCCTTCTGTCTTTTTGCTTAGACGGCAGTTGGAATAGATAAACCGGCACAAGATTCATTACCTTGTCGAAATTACAGCCTATATTAATGGATCTCTATAGATTACATTAGTCGGTCATTGACGATCACACTTACGCATCTAACGCTCTGCGGAAACGTCGATTGTTTTCAATATTAGATAATAAAGGATTACATCGTTTAATGGGTGTTGCAGAATACACAGTTAAATGGCATTCCACGTCTTTTGGGGATCACAATCGTTCCTTATTTTGAGCTCACATGTCAAGATCAGTTTTGGTTTTTGTCTCTTGGGTCACCGCGGTTCTAAAGTCTCGCATTCACAAATTAGATTCACTTGTCTTTATAAATCTTCGGTGGAAACATTCATCATATTCAATTCCATGCTAAACTTATGATTCCTGTATGAAATTTTTTTAAAAAATTTCTTGTTATTATTAAAGGTAAATTTCCTAACCTAAGCTCTTTACAAATGTTAAATCGGTTTTACAATCTCTTGCTCTTGATGATTCCTACAAATATAAACAATAAGCGGCAATTTGTGAATCTAGGCTAATGTGCAAATAAACGTCGAAAACAAACATTGTGCTCCAAAAACCGGGAGCATGCTTATCGTTACCTTTGGCGCACAAATTGTTCTGAATAGCTTGCGTAGAGAATTCTCCTCTTCTTGTTATTGTCAATAGCTTTCTTAATAATTTTCGAAACAACAATATATCTCATTTTTAAAACTCTTAAAAGTTTCTCATAAGACTTCATAACACAAGCCTGTTATATGCAACCAATACAACGCTTGACATTCAAAATCATACTCGCACTTTATTCCTCTAGGCTAGCAATTTGAAACTCATCCTTCTTGCTTATGAGTTGTTCTAGAATAAAAGACGATGCATTGCTGAATGGTTAGTGGAATAATTCTCTTTTAAGCCTATTTTTTAGACAGAGCTTTAAGCCGCTTAAACTTTGATTTAAGTTTTATGCATCGTCTTCAATGTTACAACCGATAGTCACAAAATCTCAATTCAACGCAAGGTTTATGAAGCGGTATAATAAAGCCTTTTTAGCATCGATAACAAAGTTACATCTAATACAATTAAACATGTCTACCAGTACTTTGCCATTGTTTCACCAGAACAAACGTAGTCTCACTAAACTAGTGTAAGTTATAAACCAATAGAGGAAATGTTAGGAAACTTTTGAAACTTTTCGTTTAAATTTAAATATCATGTGAACGCGTCAATAGTCGTCATATACCTACATGACATCCTATGTACTTATGGAGCGATGTGTTATAACTTACAAATTGAAAAGTGATTGGATTACCGTCGTAAGTTTATATCAATGGCTACAACAACGTTCTCTTATCGTAAACTTCAATCTCATTTCATTAATAGGATATCAGGGTAGGATCTTATAACTGATATGCGATAATTAAGTTAATTGGTTCAAGGTCAAAGGAGTATAGATTATCGCTATTTTCTTGAACATCAAGGCGATCGAGCCCTGGCAACTGTTGGCCTTTGCCAGTACTAGTTGATAGTAATATATTTATTACATATTTA